GACTGTGAGTAGGTGGAGTACTATCCCCTTGGAGGACTGTGAGTAGGTGGAGTACTCTCCCCTTGGAGGACTGTGGGTAGCTGGAGTACTCTCCCTTTGGAGGACTGTGGGCAGGTGGAGTACTCTCCCCTTGGAGGACTGTGGGTAGCTGGAGTACTCTCCCCTTGGAGGACGGTGGGCAGGTGGAGTACTCTCCCCTTGGAGGACGGTGGGCAGGTGGAGTACTCTCCCCTTGGAGGACGGTGGGCAGGTGGAGTATTCTCCCCTTGGAGGGCTGTGGGTAGCTGGAGTACTCTCCCCTTGGAGGACGGTGGGCAGCTGGAGTACTCTCCCCTTGGAGGACTGTAGGTAGCTGGAGTACTCTCCCCTTGGAGTGCCCCTATAAACCCTGGAGCAAGGCTTGAGTATAAAATGCTGCAGGCCGCTCGCAGGCCCCACATTTCAGGGGATGGTGCGTCAATGTTAGTGTTCCCCAAAGGTCTTCAAAGGCCCTGCACCGCGCTGTTGGCTAACCTTTACCTTTGAAGCATGTTTCAGGTTATAATACTCAAATGGAAGCTTGGGTAGTGTTGACTAAACTTGTAAATAAGAGATCTGACTCTCCCAGGCCCTCAAGTGAAAGTAGGTGAGCAGCACTGGGGAGGGAGTTCAGGACCGTACACCAGCTGACCTGCCCTCTGGGCGGTTCTGTTCCATCTGGGAGAGTGGCTGGGAACAGCCAGGCAACACCCTTATGCAGTGGAGGCGGGGAGTGGGGGCAGCGGCCACCTCAACCAGGCTGCCGTTTCTCCTAAGTCAGCATGCACATTTACTTACTGAGTTCTAAGAGGGCCCAGGACACCCCTTTTACAGGTGAGGCAGCAGAAGCTGATGAGCTGGGTAGCTTGCCAAGGCCAGGCTTTGGGAGGCCGCACGCTACTAGTCAGTAAAGAGTCCGACAGTAACGCTACAGTTCTCGGCCATAGCCCGCGGCTCTAACCCCACCTGCATACCCTGACACCTCACCTTCCTTCTCAAGCCATCTCACAGAAACCCCTCTTCACCATTTTGCTGGTGCCACAGCCAATGGGGGGAAGTGCAGGCTCCTGGTAGACATGCTGATTATTTCTGTGCCACAGTTTATTAATGCGGGATTCCTGTTTGTGCTCCCTGACTTCACTGTCTCATTCCTCTGTCTCTCCCTCTCCCTTTCCTACTTTTGGCTAGTCTCTTTTCACTCTGTTTTCCAATCTCCCCTCACCCTGCCCCTATACTCTCAATCCATTCTAAACACCCGGGCTGGGCACTAACTCCGGTAAAACCGGTTCATGGAAACCCACGCTCTGGGTCTGCTTTCCTTTTGAGTCCCACTCTCTCAGTCAGGAGGCACGACTGCAGGACACGTGGGGGATGTGTGGCCACAGAACAGCTACTGAGCAAAGCCAGTGTGCCCTGGGCTGGGCTGGGCTTCACACTCACCTCAAGAGTTTGCTCCGAGGCTCTGAACAAAAAACCCCACGAAGATGAACACTTTGGGAGTGAATTTCAAGGTATACAAACTGTAGCTCGATTAAGCTATTACTTAAAAAACTATAATTTAAAAAGATCCCTGATCTCTGTTGAGAGTATACCAGGGGCAAAGCAACCCACCGAGGCAGAAGAACCCTTACACAGCTCACTGGGTGCCACAGGCAACAGCCGCTCCACCTCTGCAGCCAGTTCTCCAGAGAGGACTTTGCCGTGTGGGTGCAGGGCAGGGATTATGTAACAGGGCTCCACCAGTCAGTCTCCATACCTCCCACTGAAGGGCCTTGACTGACCCAATGGGTCCGGGCGGTGGGACAGTGGGACAGTGATTGGAAAGGGTTCAGCGATGTGTCACTGCTAACAGGGCGGACTGCGACTGCCGTTCTGCTGGGAACGAAATGAGCCATCTTAGCAGCAGGAGTGGGGAAGGGCGTCTCCCTACCAGCAAAAGACAATTGCTGGGACTGGATCCCTGCACAAGGTTCCTCCTTGATCCTGGAGATACCTGGGACACCTGGGGAGCGACAGACCAGCAGAACCAGGAGCCAGAGCATGAACTTTCCCACCCACAGAGCTGGTGAAGCTGAGTGCCTGTGGGCAGGCTTACAGAACAGGGTGCTTCCAGGTACATAGTCCAGGGAGCCAAGTCCCCTTTGGGCTGAGGTTTCAGGTAGAGTAGCAGGCCCTCTGGGCATGTATCGTCAGCCCGAAAGAGCTCAGAGGTCACTGGGTGTGTGGCTGAGAGGTCAAAGAGCAGAGGGAAGTCTGTCTGTAGGCAGGGCTGAATAGCTGTATCCTGAGCATTCGTAACCTGTTAACTTCCTTAATAAACTCACTAATTGTGAGTACTGTCTGTGAGCTCTGCATGGTCACTACAATGAACTATGGACACAGTGCGCTGGCGCTGGAGGTTGGGGGCACGTCTGACCTCAGCCTCACAGAAAGCAGCCTTGGGCGATGCTGACATGAACTTTGCTCTTCCCGGCCTGGTATAGCTGGAGGGCTCCAACACAGCGCCCACATCCTTTCTTTTTTACAACTGGACTCAGAATACTCCAGGCAAGAGGACTTGTGTTATTGCCACAGGAGGCTACAGCAGGTACCTGGAAGACCTCCGTATTCATGAAGGCAAACAAGAGGCAGTTTCACGTCAGTGTTCACACCGAGGCCCGACCAGCTGCAGTCGTAAAGCACTCACCGGACTTATATAAACGCCTTGGTGCACGTCTCCAAACTGGCCTTCTCCAATACACCGTCCCAGTTCTATTCTTTCTCTCTGGATCTCATAGTCCCTGGCTGCGAAACAGGCCAAAGGTCAGAAACATAGACATTTCATGATCATCATCCACGAGTAAAGATTTCATCGGTGGCACACCAAGTCATAAAAATGCTCTCGAGAGAGTGGAATTCTCTTAAACAACATTTCAACGACAACTCTGGAGAGAGCCCACCACGGGCTGAGCTGCTGGAAGGACGGGTTAGGATTAGGTTTTTACCATCGTCCATAATTGTTTTTGGATAGATGGATTATTGTCTATTTGATAGTTCTCAAAGAATTGCTCCAAGTTTTAAGTTCTATACTCAATTAACAAAGTGCTATTAGTGTAGGTATTAATAATTAAGGCTATGAAAGTTAAATCAATTATTTTACAAAGAACCGAAGTTTGTAAATATAGAGATGACACAAAACTGTTATTCTATGAGTAAACTTTATGCTTGAGAAGGTTAAGAGTTTTCCACTTTATTATAATCCTATCTCTATATTATTTATTCATGGAGCTAAAAGAGTTTAAAGAGGTAGTGTCTCAGAACTAATTTCAAAATTAGATGAATCGGAATTAAGGTTGTACGCATCACCAAACAAATTATGGGTGAAAATATTTGCCTCAAATGAATACATTAAATTGTTGAGATTTGCACAAAATCAATTCTTCAGTGGGCTGTTGAGGTCTAGGCAATGGAATTGAGTAGAGTCTTAGTTTAACTAACTTCCTGGGATTGAGTTCTTTCCATCAAGAGAGGGACCCCCCTGCCCCGTAACAGTATACACTCCGTCATGTGGTCACCAATGGGATAGCTGATTGTCATCTCTGGAGAATCTCAGCTTAGTTTCTCAAATGATAAATCACACAGACAACTCAGCCCAAATGGTAGACACATTTTCCTCTTTAAAATCACTTTAGCTGGTAATTCCACTGACTTAACAGCATGAGCAAACCAATAACAAATCGTTTTAAAATAAAAGTTAACAAAATGGAAACATCCTGTATCACTCCACAGGTTGCAAGTACAAGCAATGCAGTTATTTCAAAGGGATCCTGTTACCTTCATCTATTCCATAGCTTTCTGTGTTGCAATTAAGAGAGAAAAAAATTGAAGACCTTGCTTAGAAAGAACTAATAGCAGATTAACAACAATAAACTTTACAAGAATATAAGAAACACGAGGGTATGGGAAGTAAGAGGGGAGGAGGGGGAAGGGAGTTGATAGCATTGATGATTGTTTAACTCCACCCGATGGGATTGAGCAACAGAACTGTATGTGAATGGATATATTGGAATGAGTAAGATACGTCAACATAAAACATTTACACACACACACACACACACAAACACACACACACACA